AAATCCATTTATATGTCTATTAAACCGAGTTGATAAATTAATTGAAGAACCTATATATAATTTATTATTTGATTGACAAAGGAATCCATAAACTCCAGATTTATTTTTTAATTCCTTTATAATAATTTTTTGTATTTCCGCTAAATGTAAATATCCTATTGATTGCTCAATAGTTGAAAAAAATAGTTGTAGTCGTGTCATGGTTTATTTTAAGAACTTTTATTGTTAGCAAGCGTAATTGTCAAACTTTTTTAAATAATTATATCCGCGTTGGTGCGCACATGACACCCAGGGTTTCCGTCCCTGTGCGGTAAACTATTATATTTTTAAAATTATAGATATTACTTAGGTAAGTAAAGAAGGTTAATAGTGATTAGACTAATACCTTTAAAGTAATCTAGAGAAAAGAATCATACTTCTATCTTCAAAAAAAAATTATCAAGCTATATTTTATATATTATTACATATCAATACTGTTATATATAAATAAATATAATTATCCTAAGACTGAAAATTTTAGCAAAAAAACTTGGATTCAAAGATTTTCAAAAATTACCAAGCTATAAAGATCTATTATTGCATATCTATGCTGTTATTATAAATTGTTATTATTTAATATTTAGAAGTGGATAATATCCATTCGTTTTTAAATAATTTCCCGCTTTTTGTATATTTTAAGATAGTATGATATGAAACATTAAAATGTTCGCCAGCTTTAATGGCTGAAGGAAAACTATTAATATATATTAATCCTTCATTTCGATATACAAATATCGGAGTACCATTACTGATACTAATTTTATTCTTATTCTCATCTGAATGGTTTTTTCCATGCATTGGATGATTTTGCCCAGATAGGGCAAGACTCATTAAAGCTTTAGTTTCTTCACTATGAGCTAAACCAAATCTAGGGTGATTTTTACCTAATTTAGCTAAACTCATTTTCTCCTTTGTTTCAGCAGAAAATGTTTGATTAGACATTTTTGCTATTGATTCTACTGTATGGATGTATCCTAGAGAAGAACCCGCTATTTTTAATACATTATATTCAGGTTTAAGCTCATCTATGTAGAATTGCTCTCTAGTAATCAGTTCCTCTGGTTCACAATATTCAAAAACTACAAAAATAAAATCCTGTAAATTATATTTATTTATTGCTCTTTGTAGTAAAATATTAGATTGAGAGCCCTTAATATGTTTATTAAAGCGAGTTGATAAATCAATTGAAGAACCGATATACAATTTATTGTTAGTTTTAGAAACAAATCCATAAATACCGGATTTTCCTTTTAATTCTTTTCTAACAATTTTTTGAATTTCTGCTAAATGTAAATTACTTATCAATTGCTCGATAGTTGAAAAAAAAAAAAAAAAAAAAAATTTTATTTTTTTTTTTTTTTTTTTTTAGTACTTTAAAAATGTAAGCAAGCGCAATTGTCAAATTTTTTTAAGTAATTATACCCGCGTTGGAGCGCGCATGGATCCCAGGGTAGTAGCCCTGTGCGGTAAACTATAATTTTAATCTTAAAAAAAATTTCGATGTTACTCAAATAGAATATCAGGAATAGTCAGTAACCTTCTCTCGAAAAAAGGATTATTGCTTTTTAAAGAGCACTGGTTTCCATTAACCTATTACTGGCTGTTATAGACTATTATAAGCAAAATGAGCCTCCAGAAGGCTAGTAAAATTAGACAGGTATTTTTATTATACCTTTCAGAGAGAGGGAATAAAATTTTTTTGAGAAAGGAATCAAACCTCTTTTTCAAAAAAAATAACCAAGCTATAAAATCTATTTTTATTACATATCAATACTGTTAAATATTTTTAAATTTTAATAATTTTAAATTTTAATAATTTTAAGTAGATAAAATCTTTAGAATATTAATTATCGAATATTTGACTCGAACAACAACTAAGTTCCAAATAAATATTATTTATTCTCCCCTTTATAATGGTCCCGTTTTTTATTTTTCTTTCTCCGTAGAAATGCGAGGGAGGGAGTAGGAGCAGGCTTTTTTTACCCCCGTAAAGAGACCGTCGATAAAAAAAACCATTCCCTTTATCGAAGGAGAATGGCGAAGGATTTGTTCCTAACAAATTAAAAAAGCCCGTGGGGCGACTTAGCCTCGGTCTTTATTAAAAATCAATAATTTTACTTATAAAATTTAATCCTATTAGAAAATAAAAGAATTGAATTTTCACCATCTTATTGAATCTTTAGGGAATGGAAGAATTGAACTTCCCTCTTCTTATTGTAAGTAAAATGTTCTACCTATAAACTAATCCCCTATTATATATGATTAAAAATAATAAAGAGGGGTAAGACCGGAAGAGGAAGGGGGGGGGTGTATAATTTTAAGAAAACTTTTAAATTATACAAGGCAATACCTTGCCTAGTCTGCTTCTTTATTCCTTAAAGCAAACTCCAAAAGAACAATAATTTTTAATTAAAATCTCTCGGTGTGGACTAACTAATTTTTAGAAGTTAGTCCTTTTATAATATGGTTAATTATTTCATTATTTTTAATAATAAATTCATTAATATTATTTTGAGTGATTAATGATTTATCAATTAACATTAATAATTTTTCTTTAAGCTCATATTCAATATTATTTCTCTCAATAATAGGTTTAATAGAATTTTCCAAATCATTTATCCATAATAATATATTTAAAGGGGTGGCCGGTAGGTTATCCCCCCTTCGGGGAGAACTCCTTTATTCTCCGGGGGTAGGTTCTGCAGTTAATTTATCTAAATGAATGCGTACTTATAACTCGTTCAGCTTCAAATAAGGTCTAATTAATTCTTAACTGGCTATTACCGATTATCTATATATAATGACAAAATTAAGATTTATTTTTTTAGTTATGTCGATACCACTAACTTCTCTTTATTTGTCAACAATCTTAATCAGATTTGCTTTTTTAATATTTCTAAACATAGTAATTATTTATTATATGATAGATGGAACGATTCTTCTGTCAGCTAGTATAGGAGTATTAGAAGGGTTATTTCAAACAACTTTACTTTCGCAAAGCCTAGAAATATTTATATTAATACTAGGTAGTTTTTCTTTTATCCCTGTAGGGCTCGAACAATCTAATATTTTATTAACCTGCTTCGTTCCTATAATGATTTATTCTAATGTGGATACAGACAGATCGCAGATCCTGTCGGATAATAAAGGTATATCTGGAATTTACATGTGGACGCATAAGGACTCAAGTAGAGTTTACGTCGGTTCTGCCGTTGATTTGTCTAAACAATTAGATAATTATTATTCTTCTTCATGGTTGAAACAAGCAGATAATTATATCTCCAGAGCTTTAATGCTTCATACACATTCGGCATTTTCTTTATCAATTCTTGAGATAATTGACATTTCGAATCTTTCTAAGGAAGAAGCTCGAAAATTAATACTGGCACGAGAGCAGCATCATCTGAATCTTCTCAGAGGCTGAACCTAATACTTATAATATATTGCAGGTAGCAGGTAACCTGCTAGGTTACAACCATACTGAAAAAACTAAAGCTAAACTTAGTGAAATCAAGAAAGGTAAAAACCATCCTATGTTTGGTCGTTCTCATTCTTCAGAGACTAAAGCTTTAATGAAAGCTAACCATACACGAAGGATGTTAGGTCAAGTTCATTCTGCTGAGACTAAAGCTAAAATAAGTAAAATTCATAAAGGTAAAATTCTCTCTTCAGACATTATAACAAAAATTAGTGTTGCTAAAGGCGGAGGTTCTATTTTTGTTTATGATACCGACGGTTCACTTATTTATACTTTTAGTTCAGCAAGAAATGCGGCTGATTTTTTTAATTGTCATCATCAAACTATAATGAAATATGTTATTAATGAAAAAACATTTCAAGAACAATGGAAATTATCAACATCCTTAATTACTAAAGGATAATAATAGGGTTATAATATACTATTAATTTAAAATCTTTCTTATTACGTAAGACTAAGAATCTTACACCCCCCACCTCCCCCTTAGATTTCATTTGTTAGAAAAATGCTTAATATAATTTTATATTCATCTATAATAATATATAAAAACTATATATTTCAGGTAATTTATTATCAAATTTAGGTAATTTATCAGCATATTCAGGTTTATCTAGTACAGTTAAAGCTAAAAATTCATATAATAATTTGCTACCTTTTTCAATAAAAAGGGCTGCTATAAACGATTCATATATGTCAGCTCCCAAAGGGCGCTCGCCCAGCAGGGAGTACCCCGCAGGGGAGCTAATATTTTATAATCCACTTTAGTAATTAGAATATCTGTAAAACTTACTTTTTTATCATGTTTTAAATATTTATATAAACCAATTTTTAAGGTTAATTTAGCAAGATTATTATTTTGTGTTAACATAATTCTTTCTTCAGCTAATCTACCTTCTGAATAATGTGGGAAACATTTAAAAAGAAATATAGAAATATAGAATTGTAAGATACTATCACCTAAAAATTCAAGAGTTTCATATGATTTTATAGTAGAATTAGATTTAAGAAATGATTTATGAGTTAAAGCTGTATTAAAACTTTCTGTATTACTAATACTTTTTATTATTTCTGTTATTCGAGGGTTAATATCATTAGATTGATTATTATCATTATTATCAAAAGTTTTACCTGAAGCTCCTGAATTATATAATCGTTTATTAATAAAAAAAGCCCCGCGCATGTAACCGCTGGTATCGGCTCCAGGAATTACTTTAATAAAAGCATAAGATGTATCTAATACGTAGGAAAAAAAGTTAAATAATTTTTTATTTAGAATCATTTTAAAAATTTTAAGAAATCCCCTAATGAAATTCCATAAATGGAATTATTATTTATAACAAATTATAAACCAGAGTAATTTTACACTTTAGAATAATTTATAGGAAACAGAGCATCTCGAAAAGATGTTATATCCTTTAAATTTAATATAATTTAATTCACCCACTGGTGAATACCAAGATATTTTAGTATTATCTTAATAGTAGTGAGGCAATGGGAATCGAACCCATGTTATCAGATGAAAAGTCCGAGTTCTACCGAGTGAATTATTCCTCTATATATTGTGGATATAATACAATTTATATATTTTATATTCTGAGGATAATAGAACTCGAACCTATATGTTGCTAATTAAAAGTTAGACATTCTTCCATTTGAATTATGTCCTCTCATACTAATCTATATTCTGTCTAGCCACTGATAATCTTAAATAAAGTGATAGTGGATGGGGGGGGTGTTTCTGCCATAAAAATTAATCATGGTTTTCACCATCTGTCAAACAACTAATCTTCAAACACCGGGTTTCTTCTATGAGTTAGAATTGAATTATCAACTGTAAAATGTAAGTCCATTCCCGAAGGTTTGGATATCACACAATTTAATTCTCTTCCTTTTGGGATGAGCCTTGGGCTATACCCTGAGGGTCTGGGGAGGGGGCACCCACCAAGAAAGGATATTGTTATGAAGGGCAGACTTCAACAATAATTCCCGGCGCCCTTCCCCTGGAAGGCACTCGGGCCCGCGAAGATTTAAAAAAAAATGATTAAAGATCAAATTTTTTCCTTCCCTCCGGGACAGCCCGCTTTATTTTATAATGTTTGCGCCCGGGACCCCTGCAGAAATGCAGGGGTGGGGCCCGGGAAATTAATAAATAAATTAAAACTGGCGGGGTCTTTCTAAGTATTTTTATATTCAAAGGCATTCTGAAATATCATTATTCATAGCTCCTTGCTCTACATATTAGTAAAATGTAAAAAAAACCCTTCACATTAAATTAATGTTGTAAAGGGGAAAAAATTTTTTTTTAATTATTAATGAATTAGATATATTGCTTTATCTATCATTCTATTTAAATGAAGATTTTCACTAATAGGTGGTTGTGGAATATCATATTCTTTTTTTATATCTAAAATCACTTTATTATTTTCGACAGTATTTAATTTTCTTAGATAATTTAACCCTAAAAAAAGAAGCTTTTCCCTTTAGTCTAATTTTTTTTAAGTCATTAAGAAGAATTGAACTTCTATCTAGTAAGCATGAATTACTCGTTTTATCCGTTAAACTATAATAACTATTTACTATTATTTTATGCTAAAAGGAAGAATTTATATAATCTTTAGTAGCAAAATTATTTTATATTGTTTGAGGGACCCACCGGAGGGGGTGTTAGTTTATTATAATTTAAAATTATATTTTTAGTGCTTTAAAAGAATTTAATAATTCTCTCTTCTCCGTTGTTTCTTAAATCATCGTCATTGTTCAACAATATTTCCGCTCATTTAAGGATCATTATATTTTTATTAATATAATGGTTTTATAGCACTAATTAATAAATGGGGCCGAAAATCCCTTATTTTTAAGTCGATTTCTCTGACGAGGTTAATATCCATTGTTTTTTATATAATTTATTCTTATTTAAATAAGAAGAGATAGTACGTGCACTACAATTAAAATATAAAGCAACTTCTGAGCAAGAGAGAAAAGATTTATACAAAATAGTTTCTTTTGTATCTGAATCAAATGAATAAACGAAGATTTTTTTACTAGCAGGATGATTTTCACCAGTTCTACCAAACATTGGGCTATTTTGGCCTGTTCTACCAAACATTGGATGATTTTTACCAGACATGGCTTCACTAATTTTTGCTTTAGTTTCTGAACTATGGGTTTTACCATAATTAGGGTGGTTTTCACCAGTTCTACCATACATTGGATGATTCTCACCACTAAATTTAGCAATAGATTCTTCAGTATGTTTATAACCTAATAAAGAACCTGCTTCCTTAAGTAAATTATATGTATTTGGCTCATCCTCCGAAAAAAGAAAATTCAGATAATTCTGTTCTCGTTTCAAAATTAATTTTCGAGCTTCATCTTGAGGTAAATTCGAGATATCTATGTACTCCAAAATCGTAAGACTATATGAAGAATAACCATGATGAAGAAGAGCCTTAGATATATAATTACTAGCTTGTTTTAACCATGAAGGAGAATAATATTTATGTAATCGTGAAGATAATTCAACAGCAGAACCAATATAAATTCTTTTTGTTTCTATATGAGTCCACAGATATATACCAGCTCTCCCTTTACTATCTGACAAAATTCGGGATTTGTCAGTATCTGCATTATAATAAATTATTACCGGTGTAAAAGATATATTGTTATTTATGTTATTCATATTTTTTGCATTTTATAATTTTTGTTCCCAGAATGATATAAAATCACCTATTATTGACTTTAATAATATATATTAATATTATTTTAATAGTATACTTATTTGTTTGATACACTTTATAGTAATAATCACAATAGACAAAAAGAATCGAACTTCCATCGGATCCGTTATGAGCGAAGTGTTTTACGTTAAGCTATTGTTTTATTGAATATACAATAACTAACAAATTAGAAAGATTCCACGCTAATAGTATTTAACCCTACTATTATTCTTTACAAGATAATAAAATCCATTTTTTTTTTATATAATTTATTTTTATCTAAATAATAAGATATATTACGTGTGCTACAATCAAAATATTTTGCAGCTTCTATTTAAGTATTATAAGATTTATATAGTATTAGATCTTTCGTCTCTGAATCAAATGAATAAACAAATACATTCTTACTCATTGGATTCTTTTCTCCTCTTAAAGCAGCACTCATTTTTTCTTTAGTAGCATCTATATGAGTTATCCCTTTACGGGCAAGACTTATTTTTGCTATTTGATTCAATACTATGAGTTTTACCAAAGAAAGGATGATCTTTTCCAGTTTTACCAAATATTAGGCTTTTATCCCCTTTTTTGTCTTCGCTCATTTTAACTTTAGATTCTTCTGAGTGAATAAAACCTAGCGAGGAACCAGCTATCTTAAGTATATTGTACTCAGGCATAAAAGTATCAATATAGTATTGTTCACGTGAGACAATCAATATAGTATTGTTCACGTGAGACAATCAATTTACGTGTTTCTTCTACAGATTTTGAAGATATATCAATTATCTCAAGAATATTTAAAGAAAACGTTGAATGAGTATGATGAAGAAGAGCTCTAGATATATAATTATTTACACGTTTTAATTCTGTAATAGAATAATAACTTCTTAATCGTTTAGATAATTCAAGGGCTGAACCGATATAAATTTTACCTGATTCTTTGTGAATCCACATATAGATCCCGGTCTTTCCTTTGTTATCCGATAAGATCTGTAATCTCTCGGTTTCCGCGTTATTATAAAGGATTATTGTTGTAGCTAAAAGATGATCTTGAAAAGAAGGAATAAACGAATATAAAATATTAAATTCATCTATAAAAAGTAAACTACCGATTAAATTTAATCGGTTTTGCGAAAATAAAGTTGATTGAAATAACCTTCCTAATATATCTAAATCAGCAGACATAACATAAGATAGAATCGTACCATCTATTAAATTATGACAAAGTACTGCATAGTTATATAAAAAAAGTAAATCTGATGTTAAGATTGTTGATAAATAAAGAGAAGCTAGTGGTATCGAGAATACTAAAATAAATTCTAATATTGTCATAATTTTTTTATGTCCGGACATAGCCATTTTCCGAGGACCCTGTAAAATAAATTATATTGAGGTATAAGGTCTTATCAAATACATTATATATATATCTATGGGCACTGGTCTAATCTGGCAGGACGCTTAATTTTGATTTAAGAGATTGGTAGTTCGAATCTACCGTACCCAAGTTTACCGTACTCGAATCTACCGAACCCAGAAAATTTTATAAAAATACTTAAAGGAGCTGTTCCAGTAGGACGGGTTTGAACAGGATTTATGTCGTCTATTTTTATACACTCCTTTCCAGACTTAACTAAATATATAAAAGACTCACCGGCCCGGGATATAATAAAATTTAATCAAGTCCCTAAAAGGACCTTTCGAGGGAGGTGTTCAAACCTCCCTACAGGGCTTGTACTTATATTTTTAACTTAAAAAGTATTCTTTTGAAAACCCATTCTCTTTAAGAGAATGGGAAATAGACTTTACCAGAAATTTAAAATTTTGTCTCTTTATAGAAATAATGTATTGTTTATTTTTAAATAAATAAAGTTAAATATCGGACTATGCTTGAATTTCCTAAAATTAAATCAAGTCCTTAAAAGGACTGAGAGAGGTGTTCAAACCTGGGCAGCCCGACATGTGGGGGGTGTCGGTTTCCCGATCTAACGAGAAATTATCAACTGGAGCACGTAATTTACTTATAGCATATAACCCTGCTATTATTCTTTAATAATAAAAGAAGTCGATAAAATCCATTTATCTTGAAATATTACTCCTTTTATAGAATTTCTCAAAATAGTTTTATGGCAACAATTAAAATATTTAGCCGCTTTATTAGCAGAACTAAAAGTATACACAAGTGAGCCTTGAAGATCATAAGCGTAAATAGCAGTTCCTTTAGCAACACTCATTAAAGTGATAGTTTTTGACAATGTGTTTTACGAAAGAAAGGATTGCTTTCACCTGATCTACTCATTTTAGCAATAGAATCTGCTGAATGCTTATAACCTAGTAACGAACCAGCAGTTTTAAGTATATTATATTCAGGCTTAAGAGAATCAATATAGATTTGTTCTCGAGAAATCAGATCTTCTGGCTCACAGTACTCAAAAACTATAAATATAAAATCATGAATATTATATTTATTTATTGCATTTTGAA